CCTAGAGCTACGAAGGAGAAGAGAGGAGCTCCTCCCCCTTCCCCCCCTTTCTCATAAACGGAACCGGAAGCGATGAGGGAGCAGGTCCGTCTCCTCCCATCTCTATGGTCCCCGGAGAACGGGCTTGCAGGGAGCCGGGCTTCGAGAGTTTCCAGCCTCGGAACCTGGAAGAAGGTTAGCCATTCGGGGTGTGTGTGTGTGTGTGTGCGTGCGCGCAAAATGTTGGGTGTGTGTGTGTTTTTGTTCCAAAAAAGAAAGGCAAACCGCCCAAGGAGTTTGCACTGCGGGGGGGGGGCTTCTCTGTACAATCCGGATTGCAAATTAGCCTCCCCCCCAACGCCTTCTGCTTCTCTGATCGTTCAAGGGGGGGGGGAGAGATGGGATGTCTCAGGGGTCCCGATCCCCCCTTGGAGGAAGTAAACCCCCACCCCCCATCCCTTCAGGAAGTCGGCACAGCTCTGCTAAAGCCAGCATCACTCTTCACTCTGATGTCTAAGCGATAATGGGACACAGATATCGATGGAGTTGACCATGTGGCAGCACGACAGATGTGAGGAAAGGTGGAGACAGCCCTGGTGGAATGAGCTTTGATTGTCTCGGGAGTCGTTTGGCCTGCCAGTTCATAAGCCAAGGAAATTGCTTAGACAATCCATTTGGACAGAGTTTGGGGTGAGGCTGGTGAGCCCTTTTACGATGACTGTGGAAACACACAAAAAGTCGAGGAGATTTTTGAAAGGTTTGGTCCTGTAAGTGTAGAATGCCAGGGACCATCTGACATCAAGCATGTGAAGCATGGTCAGTTGTAGAAGATGAAAATAAAGAAGGAAGTATCAAAGGTTGATTTAAGTGAAACTCTGACACAACCTTGGGAAGAAAAGAAACATCCTGCCAGCATTTAATCTAATTTAATTTTTTCTTTCTTACTTACCTATCTCTTATAATTTTTGGTATGTTTTGTTAATAGTTGATGTTTATGGATTAATGTATATATGTTGTTGTTAGCCGCTCAGAGTGGTATAAATATACCAGATGAGCGGGATATAAATCAAATTAAATAAATAAATAAATATTTCACCTTGTCTGGGTGAAATAGTCCTCTGTCGTCCCCTTCTCCTCTTGCCTTCAAACTTTCCCAAAATCAGGGTCCTTTTCCAGGGAGTCTTTTCTTCTCATTAGATGGCCAAAGTACTGGAGCCTCAGCTTCAGGATCTGTCCTTCCAGTGAGCACTCAGGGTTGATTTCCTACAAAATGGATAGGTTTGTTCTCTTTGCAGTCCAGGGGACTCCCAAGAGTCTCCTCCAGCACCACTGTTCAAAAGCATCAATTCTTCGGCGGTCAGACTTCTTTATGGCCCAGCTCTCACTTCCATACAGCACGACAGGAAAAACCATAGCTTTGACTATTCGGACTTTTGTTGGCAAGGTGATGTCTCTGCTTTTTAACATGCTGTCAAGATTTGTCATCGCTTTCCTCCCAAGAAGCAGGCGTCTTTTAATTTCGTGGCTGCTGTCTCCATCTGCAGTGATCATGGAGCCCAGGAAAATAAAATCTCTCACTGCCTCCAT